TGCACTGTCGACGTGCAAATGCTAGAAGTCTCCATCGGGTGAAACAAGCCTGGCTAGGGCATTCTCGGTTACCTCCAAGGTGTCGTTGAGTCGCTCTGTTGCGTCATTTTGGCTAGGCGTAAAGGTGTTGTAGGGAGCCATGGAGCTAGGGCCATGTTACACGCAGCAGGAAATGCTCAACTACCGGTATTGGGCCACCCTAGAGCTGAATTATGGAGCAAGGGTCGGCTGAGGTCGAGTGACGCATAATAGGAGGTGGTGCTCAACTGCCAGTACGTGTTGCTCCTATGTAGAATCTTTTGGGGTGAAGAGGACAAAACTTGTTTCCGAGTGTGTCATTCGAGTGTTCGTCTGCCCTTGGCGTGCCTTTTGGGCTGAGTTGTTGCATTTGTCAGAAAACTTTGCATCTGCCAATGTCTATGCCTTTATTGTTGCACGTATGGATTGGGCGGAATAGTGCGTCATGAGGATGACTACGTGCATCTAAAGGTATAACTTGAGTTTTCGGGTTGTAACAACTATCTCCAAAGTTAGCTTTTGAATTTCTGGTAGCTGGTTTCCGCATTGAAGAGAGTTTTTGAACTGTGGAATACAGGTAGTCGAGCCCTCAGCTATTCTCGTATGAGGGTAGAGCTTATTGTTGCTTTAGATACCGTCAAGCATGTAAATAAGTCTTCCACTACGTCCGATTTGGATAATAAGGAGGTGATGTCAGGTATTTCTTCAAGTCCTTGAATGCTTTCTTGCACTCATCGTTCTATTCGTCTTGCTGCTCCTTTTCGGTTGAGTAAAAAAAATGGCTCATGTTGATTGGTGGATCACAAGGGTAAATTGTTGAGTGTGGCTGCTCGTCTAATCAGACCTTGAATCTTCTTCAAAGTAGTAGGGGACTTTATATTCAAGATAGCTCGGATTTGCCTTAAATGTGCATCGACGAGCCTCATCCCAAAGTACATGCTTTTCTGCCAGAGCGAAAGAGTTTGCCAGAGTTAGATATTCTTTCATGATCAATTCTCTAAACAACGGGTGGTCTGTTGGGAGTCCTTTTTGGAAGGTTACACTTGTTATCGGTTATCGAGTCGTTGCATCCGACTGTCTTTGCCTTCTCTATTTTGAACCTTTTCACATAGTCGCGGAATGGTTCCTTTGGGTTTTTGTTAACGTTAAACAAGTGGTCTAACTTCTTCTTGATTGAGCGATAGGATGAATATTCTTTGGTGAAACCAAAGAAAGTTGGTCGAAACTCCAGATGGATTGTGGCGACAGGGTGAAGAACCAATCTTGCTCCTTGCCTTGTAGAGTGGTGGCGACAATCTTGCACATGAGATCGTCGTTGTTTCGATAAAGGATCATTGCCCTTCGGTAGTGATTTAACTGTTTCTCCGAGTTTTCATCTCCTTTGAAGAACATGAAATGTGGCATGCTAAACTTGCATGGAGGCTCTGTCTGCTCGAACTCGTCCGTGAAGGGTGACTTGTTTATGTTGGTCATGTCCCATCGTAGTGGCTCGTCAATGACCCCGTTGCGTTAGAAATCACCAATTGCTTGGTCATGAGCCTCTCTACTTCTTCCTAAATTTGCCTTTGTTGGGGTAGCGAAACTCTCGGTTTCCCCCAATTGTGACCTACTGGTTTAGGCTGCTCTTCCATGTGTTCTGCTCATCTATGCCATGGCTACGGTTCATGTGGTACGTTCCTAGCAAGCGAGCGAATTCCTTGTAGACTGTCAGTTGAACTTGAGCCGAATTAAGTGATTGTTTCCCTCCGTCCGTTGTGCCGCTTACTTCGATGTGAGGTGGAGGATGCTCTTTGCAGGCCTAGCCGCGAATGAACACTTCGCCTGGAAAATTGTTCATGATTATCGGAGTATGACCCCAACTGTGATTGTATGCTCATCCATGGGCCTAATCGAGAGTGCATGCTCATCCGTGCACTAAGACGAGAGTATACGTAATCTCGAAGGCCCAGTCAGAAGTGTACACTGCCAGAATGCTCGGTTTATGACTTGTTGAGTGGCTATTTGCTGACGCTGCTGGAGAGGTTCATCATCTGCCCTTGTCCTACTTCGGGACACCTCGTCTAGGGCACGCTGCATCTCGGTATGCTGCAAGAGTTGATTCACCAAGGTCGTTTGATGCGCGAGGGTGCTTGTCAACTCCATGACTTGTCGAGAATAGTGTTGTTAGCCATTTGGGTTGGAAGAGCTTGGACAATATGCGTCTCCTTGAGTAGTGGAAGTGTAATGGACTCCGAGTGTGAGATTTGAGTTGGGGAATGTCAAATCTGCTGAGAAATGAGGTAAAAATGCCTTGGTTTTATCGTTGGCCCATAAATCTAAAGTTGGGATGGTTGAACTGGTATTGGACTAGTTTTGGCTGCTTGGGAGGCCACGGGAGTGGGTTGCTCCACGTACAACACTCGGATGTGTTGGGCCTAGGCTCGGCTCGGAAACGCGCTAGGTTCGCTCTGTGTGGTTTGAAACGGCGTGGGGCGTTGTACTGTCTTTGGCGTGGCTTGGGCCTGCGGGCCTTGGGCCGTGTGTTGAGCTTAGGCTTGCGCTGCTGGGGCAATGACTTAGGCTGCCCTTAGCGCCTGGGCTTGTTGCTCACTGTGAGTTATAGGCTTGCCAAAAGTGGCATGGTGTTTGCTGCTATGGTGGCCATCGTGGATTGTCGTGGTCTAAATTCTTGAACGTTGGAAGTTTCGTTCGTCGTGGTTTCCGAATTTCTTGTCATTGTACTTTTCTTTTATGCTTATTCAAAGACTTTTTAGATAAAAAGTTCTAGGAATGAAAACGTACGAAAAATCTATGAATGCACCTGCAAAACAATTAACACTTAAGATCAAGGCCAAGAGCCTCACGCGCCTATGATGAATGGGGAGGGCTTTGGCAGAAGAATCTTCGATGCCAAAGTTAGAATTTGAGAGAGAAAGTGTTTAGAGAATTTTAGAAGAGAATTGGACTTAGGATTTTGGAGAAATGAGGGGATATATGTAGGGGTGTGGCCAGCCCTATTTGGAGAAATAGGGACCGGCCACTTATGGTGGTTTTTTTGCTCTAATTGCAAGATATTATGCCAAATAATATCGTGCAATTAATTAGGAAATTAATCAATTACTTTTGGTAATTAATCCCAATTTGAAAAGAATAATTGGGAGTTACCTTGTGGGTGTGGATTTGATGAGGAGTGATGAGAGGATTTAAAAGAATACCATTTTAATCACCTTTGACCTCGATTGAGCCGTTATTATTCGTTGCATGTGATTGGGAGTCCTGGTGTGACTCAAGGGTAATTTTATCTTTTTTATCCAAAAATCCACGTGTTGCCTTCATATTTTTCTTGATTATTTTTTGCTCCACAATATGCTTTTTTTTTTTGTATTGTGAAAATTGTAAGGATTACAAGAATACATATAGGGGATTGAGTGATTAGATGAGCACTCAATTAGGTCCTTAAATTATACCATACAGGCTGACCTAGGGAGCCTAACTAATCACCTTGAATTAAGGAGATGACAACAAGGAAAAGACCTCTTACAATTGCTAAACTCAAGAAATTAAGAAACATCTATTAACTAGGTAAAACACATCTCCTAGAGTTGACTTAAACCCTAAGAAACAGCTATACCGAGAAACCCTAATATCCAAAGGGTCTTGCAATATACTAAACACTAAGGCCTTGTTTGGTAGCCCGTATAACAGACCAGATAGAATAACTAGTACGGTTCCAGGTGTTTGGTGTTGTTTTGTACTAAATAATACCCGAACTAATTATACTAACCCCACACCTTTTATACGGTGTACACCTGCTAAGTTATCCAACCAAAAAGCTCTGTATTATTAGTCGGGTAGTCTCTCGCCCTCTTTGTTCCTCTCGTCGCTCGCTCTACTCCTCTCACATTGCTTGCTCTCTCCTCTGAATCCAAGGTTCTTCCTCCTCTTCTGAATCTGAGGTTCTTCTTCCTCCTCTCTGTTCCTCCCTCCTCCTATTTTTCTTGCAATTTTTCTTCTTCTCTCTCTGTTCTGTCCTCCTATTTTTCTTCCAACTTTTTTTTTTTCAATCAGATTGAATCAGATTGTTGTTTTTGTCTCTAATTTTGCAATTGATTTTATAAATTTTCAATTACTAAAGAACCCATATGCCTTCTTTGGGTCATATCCTTCATAACCATTCCACTTTTGCTGTATTGATTTGTAGCTAAAAAAAGAGAAGGATTGGGAAAAAAAATGATGCGAATTTGGAAGGTGGGTTTTTCTAGGTTTCTTGTTGTTGCCTTTGTGGTGGGTTTTGGCTCAGGGGAGCAGACGAAGAAGAAGAAGGGGGACAGAGGGAGGGATTTTTGGGGGGGGGGGGTTGCCGCAAAGAGATATGGGGAACAAAAGAGATGATTTCAGTTTTTTTATTTTTTTTATTTTACGTTTGATTCTCCTATCCGGAATAGTACTAAACATATTATAAATAATACGGTCATTAATCCAATACTGCACCAAACGCCTGACTAATTTGGTCAGTACTATTTGGTGGCTATTTATCCTAGCCGACAGAAATAGTCAGTACAGTCCGAGCTGCCAAACGAGGCCTAAGTAGCTCCAAAACTTAATATATATATATATATATATATATATATATATATATATATATATATATATATATATTAAAAAAAAATGGAAACGATGAAATTGCAGTGCTGGAGTGGACGGTGTAACGCCTCCTGAAAATCCACCAGGCATCAGCATTCAGCTCATTACCTTGTTTCCCATGTTACCGTTTGGTGGAATATTAACCAGACACCAAAATTAAATTATCAATCCCCATGATCATGAAACTAATAAACACCTTAATCAATAATTAGCAGCCCCCTTAGGTTTCTCACCGGACTCATCTCCACTATAAATTATTTCCCAAATCCTCACATTTTCTTCACTTAGTCAGCCCTCGGATTTTCATCAAAGACAAATACATACACACGTTCCATCAGTAGTAGTAGCAGTAAAGTACAATGGCTTCCCTAAACGTGGCTTTCCCGGTGGCAGTATGCCTAATATTCTTGGGTGCAGACCACGCACTTGCAGCAAGAAACGTGATTAATCCCATGCAGCCAGGCTACAACATCCCCATCGCGGCAAGGATCAAAACTGGAAACGAAGGGGATGGTAGACTAGCGAATTGCTGGAATGCGCTTGTGGAGCTGAAATCATGCTCCAATGAGGTGGTTCTGTTTTTCCTGAATGGGCAGGCTGATATAGGGCCCGACTGTTGCAAAGCCATTGCCACTATTACACGCCACTGCTGGCCTGCAATGCTCACTTCGATTGGTTTCACGGCTGAGGAGGGTAACATTTTGCGAGGCTACTGTGATGCCGCTGCATCTGCTACTAGTACTAATTCCTCCGCCCCTTCTTCACCACCTCTTGCTGCCGCCGCTACCACGCCTGTTCCTCCCGCCCACTAATGCCACGCCTGTCCCCTCCTGCCAATTAATGCCACCGTGTTGGTTTAATATTTGGCCCTTTAATTAGAGAATAAAAATATGTATCTTCATTCTCGAGTAGTACTACCTACTCCTTAATTTATTGAATGAATGGTAATTTAATTGGGCATTTCTTATATGTTTCGCATCGGTCGAGTTTAATTCCATGTTCCCTCTATTTGTTATTGAAGTCTAGGAACTTGATAACTAAGAGATGGGCGGGCATGCTTATAGAAAATTCCAGATGTTGTGGAATACTTTCAGTGCGTCGAACGTCTCTTATATATGTCCGTAGCCAAGCTAAGAGTGCGGTGCATCATTTAGCCAATTTTGGCTTCTATGTGGTGGATGGAATGATTTGGTTTTAGGAAGTAGGAACCCCTGAATTTGTCCAGCATCTGATCTATTTCGAATAAATTTTTATCACAAATGGTTTCTCAAATTGGCACACCCTATCAAGATTGTTTTTAGAACTGAAAATTAATCAATATAGTCTTTCAAAATAGTTGTCGAAAATCAACGTGGCCATTTCATCATAATTCTGTCAGTTATGTGCTCATAACTTGTCCCATGAATTCTATTTAAATAACAAAAAAAAGGTAAATTACATTTTACCCCCATGTTTTCATACAACATCTTTAAAATATTTCAATCTCGTACATGACTTTTTATTTGATTACAGTTTCGTTCATGACTTATTATTTCTTTACAGTTTGGTTCATGACTTATTATTTCATTAAAAACTTAAATAAAAAAAAAATCGATGATCCCAATTCCAACACCACTTCCACTTCCCCTTCCAAACGGAAAAACAATTTTGGACTCCTCCACTTCGAGACGGAAAATGAGAGCCCTCATTTCCACTCCATGTTCTGATTCACCACCACCATACCATACACCCCTTCATTCTAAATACAGACTCCAGAGCCTCATCCACCACCAAATTCAACGGCCCCAAGGGCGCCGCGTTTACTGGAGTCTAGGACTATGGAGCTGGTTTAGATAGGGCTATAGGCGCCGCATTGAGGGGTTTGGCAGGTCAATGTGGTCATTCGTTTGAGGATGGAAGATTTATAGTTCTAACAGAGGATTTCCATCGAAGCCGATGAGGATTTCTTGGAAATGACAAAGAAATTGAAAGGGATTGGAACCGATTTCAGTTGAGAGCAATGACTAAAATATCGATAATATCGGCGAAATATCATCGATATTATCGTTTTTCAGAGAGACCGATATTTTCCCACGTATCCCCCTAATTGTCGTCAAAATATTGCGATATTATCGATAGTATTGATAATATCGCGATATATTCGATATTATCGAAACAATCGTCGTGGCTCCATCGTCAGAAAGGTAGCCGAGGCTGCGTTGTCACAGCTGCCCAGATCTCTCTCTGCAATCCAAGCCCAAACCCAAGATATGCACCTTAACGACGCCGATTCCACCGCCGTTATCGAAGTCGCGGTGAAAGAGCTCTAGAAACGGATCGTAGTTGTAGATCTGGAACCCGTGGTCTGTCCCCATGGCGAAGCAGGCGTGGTCTTGGTTGAAGCAGACGTGGAACAAAGACGGAGGCGAGCATGGCGCCGACGGGGCAGGCTCCGGGGGGGAGGAGGAGAATGGGTGGTTGTTGTGGAGGTTGAGGTTGGGGTTTGGGGGCGATTGGGGGTCGTGGTGGTCGTCGCTGAAGTCAACGACAGAGGTGGGGTTGTCGTCGGTGGGATCGGTAAGGAAGGTGGAGGCGGAGTTGGGGTCAAGCCAGGAGGGAGGCGAGAAGGCGGAGAGGGTGGGCATCAGAGGAGGGAGGTGAAAAGATGAAGAAGAAGATGGAGGGGAGAGATAAAAGAGAAACGTTTGAAAAGACGAAGAAGAAGATGTAGAAGAAGAAAAGTCTGAAAAGATGAAAAGATGTGAACGGGAACTTGGGAAAGTGAAAAAGTCTCTGCCTTATCACAAAATAAAGGGATAAACAATAATTACCCATTATCCCTTAATAAATAAATTATATAAAATATTTAGATAATATTTTATTATTTGTTTTTTTAAAACAACACCATATTACACTCTTGTATTATATTATTTTTCTTTTTATGATCAGAATAAGATAATCTTATATTATACTCTTATGTTTAGATATGTATATTTTTTTTAAATAACGTATTTCTCAATATTTAATCATCTACTATAAAATAAATTTAACTAATTTATATAATATATTTATTCCAAGATATACAAATTTTTTTTTTTTTTGTAAATGTTAGTATGCACTTATTTACAAAATATACAAGAAATTTACCTAAATTCGACTAGGCGCTAGCCCACCGCCCGACATTACATAATATTTATATGGTCGTTAAGATGTCTGCAAGGCTTGCAAGCTAATATTTATTATCTAGGATAAATTTCTATATTTAAAAAAACACCAAGGGGATTCGAACCCCTCCCATTTTACTCCTTCAACACCTTGACCACCATATCACTTATGTTTTTGTGAAAATATGCTAAAATATTTATATATATGGTTTTATTTTGAAGTCTTTTTGCAAGAAACAAATTTGCACATGACAATGAATCTTTGACAATTTCTTTTCAAGTATCTACTTTTGAACTACTCACCACGTTCACTCTATGTGGTACTAAGTCACTCATGCATCTTACCATATAATGTATAAAGTGTAAAATATTGTACTAATTCATTATATATAAATGATTATGGTATATTTGAACTTTTTTTCATTAATTACTACATATTTTCTATACTCACAATGTTTGCCAACTCGCTATATAATCAACTTAAATCAGTTAAATCCATCATGCAATACATTTCCTTCCAATTTTTTGTGATAAACTAATAGATAATTGACTAAATAAACATCATGCAAAGTAAATTTCCAAGTTTTTCTTACAATTTCCGTGGTTTTTATTCAATTTTTATCGATATCGATAATATCCCGATATTTCCATCGAAATTTCCGTGTTTTTGGACTACCGATATTTCCGATATCATCGATATTTTATACCTTGGTTGAGAGGGACTTGATTTCTCGTAATAGAAGCGGCGCGCGGGAGTGGTGGTTTCATTTTACGCATCGCTTTTTGGGATCCAAGTCTGATGCTTGCTCTTTTAATTTGGACATTTCTAGGGTTTGTTTTGGGTAGAGGAGAGGTTCTGTGATTTTCGCATTTGTTGTCGAGGCAGTCCAGCTCTGTCTGTAGAGTTCCCAAATCATCTTTTTATTTATTATTATTTTTATTTATAAAAATTGTTTTTTTATTATGTATTTTAGCTACATGATAATATTTAATTATAATTGTGGGACTCAAGTAAGCCTAACAATTCCTGACACGATCCGATAACCCGACACGACACAAAATTAACAGGTATTCGGATCAACACGATAACGAATTCGGTAACACAACACACGATAAGCAAAATATCAATTTTATAACCATAAAAAAATACTATAATAATTATATATATTAATTTAACAATTTTATTGTCACAGCCCATTGCGAAATAAATTATCAATGGCGTGGAAGTTACTAAATTACTTTTGGACGTTGAGATATAATTGAGTTATGTGGTGGTGTGGTTTAAGTTTAAATTTATTTGGACAAATTCTAAATTTTTCCTAAGTTTTGAAACACTTAGGACTCAAAAGTGTTTTCTTTGGTTTTGGTTGGTGACCCACGTGGACCACACACACACACACACAAACTCTCCCTCTCTCCCGTGCCTTCTCTCTCTCCTCCCTCTCGGATTTTTCAGAAAATCCGCACAAAACGTACGGACAAACTTCAAAACCAACCATACACGCACAAATTGAGGGTTCAAAAGGCACCATTGTGTTCCTGAGGTTCATACGAGTTGAATGGTACCATTTTTAGGTAAGAACTTATTCGAAAACTCGTGAAAACCCTAACTCGATTTTTGTCACTATTCATGCAATCGTAAAATCGTGTGTTTTTGAGGATTTCAAGCTCATAGGAAGCTTTAGGAGGTTCTCACGAAGCTCGGAGTGGTTCGTTGGAAGAAATTAGATGTCAAATCATCGAGAACGATGGGTTTTAAGATTTGCCTGAATATCGAGGCTTTTTCCGGTAGGTTTTTGGTGGTTTCAGAGCTCGACTCAGGTATGGTTTTGTGTTAAAATGGTTCAAGTTTCTTGAAGTTTGGTGTTAAAATGAGAGAGAAATTAGGGTTAGAAACTTTTCCAGAAATCGGCGAACAGTCGCCGGCGTCCGTTGACTAGTCGGGGAAGAAGAAGCATATTCCGTCAGTCTTGACGGAATATGCTAATGACGTAAGGTAACGCCGTTAGTTTTTAGACGGAATATCCTAGATTTTAATGGAATATTCCTGATGGCATTAACTACCCCCGTCAGTGTGCCAGGCACGTGCCCACGCGTGGCGGCGCGTGAGGGGTCGGAAATTTTTTCTAAAAATATGGGGATGTTCATGAGGTTGTGTAGATCACGTTGGTATATTCAAACTTCCCATTTGAGCATTGTATGAGAAGTTATTAGCTAGTATTGGTTATGTGCTTTAAATTAATGTTTTTATAGTTGTTTCGCATATAGGGGAGATTTATCCCGAGGACGAGCGCAGTCAAGGGCGACTCGGGGGCTACGACCCTTTGACATACTAGTGAGTGGGCTTTTGGTTTTTAGTATATACTTATATACTTGATATTTTCCCAGAAAATGCGTTAAATGAAAGTGTATGCCTTGAAATGCCATGCATATAAATTTATGTTCAGTATATGAATTAGTATATGATGCATATATATAATTGTGGTACTATGAACGCTCAGGTAAGCCCAAGTGAGTTTATGAATTGTGAATGTGAATAACGGTTGTGATTATTTGAGAAGCATAGAGCTCATAAACCTGCACCCCGGTGTTAGTGATTTAGCCAGAAATATGGCTCAAGCCTGTTTATAATGTCACCTCCTGTACCCTATGCTCACATTGGATCCAAT